AAACCACCAATGGTTGTTTCACTAATTTTCAAGCCTCTAGTCTAGCCTTGAAGTAACGAATTAAATTAATTAATGGACATTCATACATTTGGAGGTTGATTGGACCACAGGTGGCCACGGCTTTTGCCATAATGCTTGTCGAAGGTTATGGGGGAATTCTTCAATGGTGGTGTAGATCGTTATACAAGCTCAACGCGGACGCGTCGGGGTCGTTGGGCTGTGGGAAGAGCTTATCCATATTATACAAAAGCCACAGTTCCAAGGCACACTTTCTTCAATATCCCGTTAAGCAAATTCACGAATTCCATTCTATTCCTTGCATATGAGGAGTTCGGTTAATGACATTTTAAAGGTATTCTTCGAAGCCTAATTTCTTACATGAGGATTTCCCACAATGGAATGAATAATAATTCCGATTATATTAAGCCCCACGTAGTCTTCTTGGATTCCGCTCTCATTCTATTACACTAAGGGCGTCTACTCATTTCATTATGGGAACTTCAATTATCACTTCTTGCACCACCTTGAACTGCCTTGATTGACTCGTGTTTTCATAAGTTTGTGTCGTTACACACGTCGTAGGCCAAAGGTATCAATTGTGGGGCAGGCTCTATGGAAAATCGAAGAGAATTATGCTTCGTCCTTCTTAGTGCATTCATAATCTGTCAGAAAGTAATTAGTTTTCTTGATGTTTATTAGTTATACGACAGTCGCAACAGGGAAATGAAGATGGTAACTTCTGGCACGTTTTAATTCTGAAATTACTTATTTCATTTATTCAACACCATCATATGACATTCCAGGCCAGGCATGACTATTCTTACTAGCTAGTGTTGTGAGGTCGGAGGTTCGTAAAACGGTGTCCGGGTAAGGCCAAAAACAATCATGCTGATCCTAAAGCTCATATGGAAATTAGACCAATAGTTTTACTTGTGATTGTTTTGATAGATTTTAGTATTTACCTCATCTGTTAGCCAATGTACTATGTTTGACAGTTCGCCTGAAGTTGTATGTGAAAACCCTTTTAACTTCAAGATAACCAAGGCTAGGGCTGAGGTAAAAGTGAAGGTAAATGTAAGGGCCCGCTAGGCTGATTCATAACTATCCTATATTTGCACTAGCTGATGTAATAATTAACTACTTGGTAGTGCTTTCGCA